CTCAGTGACTTGCCAGTACGTTATTAACTCAATACAAAATATCATTGTAATGGCGTGCGACAATTATTGTGGTTCCCAAATCTTTAAACTAACTGCAGGCGACCTGTTGAACCTGTCAAAGGTGGACAATTTAGCACACGTATCTTGGTGACCTGTTAGATCTTTTCGGGGAAGTTAAGTGCGACCAATTCTCCCCCATTAACAACTCGAAGGATCCAGCAATCCAGAAAGTCGTGTTTTGTCGTAACGTTTCTCGAAAAGGAAAGTATGGAAATGTTAACCAATTTCTGATGGAAGCCAAAGATGAACATTCGTCAAATTTTGTTAGCTCTGATACTTCAACAAAGCGTACAGGCTTAACTTAGTGACTTTAGGTCGCCAAACAGTAAATTGAAGTATACAAGAAGAAGAGCTAGTTCCTTTATAGTTGAGACAGTATTTGTATAGGTCGTCTTACGATTTTTAGGTATTTGTTCGGTGAAGAAAATGAAGGTACTGTTTGGAAAATTGATGAGCCCACGTTCCTTTTCTTTTGCTTCTTCGAGGGAAGCAAAAATAGGCTCGATAGTGAAGCGATAATCATTCCGGTAAGCGATAACTAGTCGACAATCAGCCGAGTCAAGAACGGTTATCGCTTTGTACAAATCTACCACTTTATACAGTGTACAAATGACTAATTAATTGATTTAAATAAACCGGAATTTTCAGATATGTGACAATTAGGGAGTTGTGTCCCTCGATAAGAAGTCAATTATTATATTTACGTTATCACTTTTTACTTTTAACTTATATTTCAGATGTAAGCAGACTATATCATCGACTTAGCCCAACGTAGTCTAACCTTTTCACGTGAGTTAAATTCGTTCATAGTTAAAACTGAAAGCTTTACCTGTGGAATGCAAAGTATTTTTAATGCCTTTTCCTTTCTTTTTCTAATTCAAATGAATTAAAAAAATGTTTGTATAAACTGCAGTAGTTGTTTGTAGAACTTCAGAAAAGGAATACTGGCCACTTCAGTTATAATTTACTGTCCAAACTAGGGGAATTGCCAATGGGCAACCAACGTTTAGCCCGGCATTGTCAATAGTAGTAGAACAAACTCGTAAGAACAAACTGGGGAAAAACAACGTTTTACGTATAAGAGCGTCGTAGACTGGAACTCTTTAAGTCAAG